TCCTTAAGAATGAAGTTCATCGTGTTAGCTATCCAATGCTTCAAACGGCACCTCAAATGGAGTCCGGAAACTCAAGTTACATCCCTTGGAAACGAATCTGTCAAAAATCAGACTACATGAGTCGACGCATAATGTTTTGAGTCGACGCGTACTGGGTTAAAATCCTGCATGAGTCGACGCGTAATCCCTTTGAATCGACTCATACTGAGTCTACAACACCACATGTATCGATGCATGCTTCTTCGTATCGACTTATCCTGAGTCCAAAAACCCGCATGTATCGACGCATATCTTTTGAGGTCGATGCATACTGTTCTGTCATGGATATTTTCTGCGATTTCACTGCATTTTCACTGTGATCTCCCTGCCTTAGGCCCTAAAATCATCCTCTAATCATAGTTAATCATCAATTATAATAATCCCATGTTCCTACATGAATTATATAGCATTAAGGCATCATTACTCATCTCTAAATCATTGATTTTCATCATACAACAATATATACATTCCAATCATAAACAAGACAACTTTTCACATCTAATCCCACATACTACTCATCATAAACCCTATTATAGAGTCAGAACTCTACCCTTACCTTAGATTGAAGGTTGCTCTACGACTTTTCTGATTGAATTCTGTTCTGACTCTTTTCCTTCTTTTCTGTAACTTTCATGTTCTCTTCCAACCCTTACTTCTTTCTCTTCTTATTGCTTCTTCTTTTCCTTATTATTTCTAAAAACTAATATAATAACTCTATAATTCTCATTATGCCTTAATGGGCTTAAAACTCCTACACCCCCTTTCTACTACTTCTATTCCTTAAAATAAGCTCAGATCAAATAATATTATTATTCTAATATTATTCCACAGCTTAATAGAACAATTAATTCCAATAACAACAACACATCAACTATCATCATAACACAACCTCACAAATAATCCAAAAATAATTTAATTAAATAATTAATTAAATTACAGGCGTTATAATACATGATAAATACCCATAAAGAAAAGATAAAAGAAATGATAAATGACATTACAAATAAAGGAACTGATTCATGTGATGATGGATTATCAACCATGGACCTCTAGCACTCCACAACACCTTTGTTTCCCTTAAAATTTAAAATCGTTGGCCTATGAAATCTTTTTAAATTATACAAAATTAAGTCAGGGGCCCTTTAAATTATTATTTTTTGTAACATGGTTGTCCTTTAAGTTTTTTATGTAACAATTTGATCCTTTAGGATGATTTCTACATCATTTTTCTTATATTTTGAATATTTAAAAATATGTGATTAGTGTATTTATGGTTGCACTTCATCATTTTCATATCACTCAAAATAATTGCATCCATAATTAGCACGTTTTCTTTGTCAAAAAGGGTAATAGTACATACGTTAGGTAACTTAAAATAGAGAAAAACTCTATTTATCATTTTTCTCCTCTTCTCACAAAATAATTGCATCCATAATTAATACGTTTTCTTTGTCAAAAAAGGATAATGATGCATACGTTAGGTAACTTAAAATAGAGAAAAAAATATTTATTTATCATTTTTCTCCTCTTCTCATTATTTAATATTTTTATTCATAAATATCAATATTTTTATATCAATAAAAAAATATTATATTATTTTGTCAGCTGCATTAACATATTAAACAAAGTAGAGTAAAAAAATTATTTCTTCATCTTTTTTCTTCCTTATTATTTAATATTTTGATTTATAAATATTTTATTTTATTTATCAATAAATAATATTATAGTAAAAATTATATTATTTTGTCTAGTGCGTAGACATATCAAGCAAAATCGAGAAGAAAAAGTCTCTAGTATATTAACCATCAAACACAGTACAATACAAAAAGTTGTCTTGTACTGCTCAGTATTGTCTAGTACTGTTTTGTCCAGTACTTTTGATTGCAAATCAAATGCACTTTTAAAGGATCAACCTGTTATAAAAAAAACAACTTAAAGGACCTCTGATTTAATTTTGCCTTTAATTTATTAAGAGAAAGTTTGAATCGCAAAAATAGTCCGGTTAGAGTGATTTTGAATCAAATTAAGCTTTTCCATAACATCTTAAATCTTTTCCTACTCTGCTCTATTTATGCAAAATTTATAAAATATAATTAAAATATTAGGAAATTGATAGAGAAAATATATATTGAGTGAGTTTCATCACAATCTCAAACTTGAACTATTATTTGTCCTCAAGAAATAAACTTATAAAATGAGAATTGACACCAAAATAATAACTTATCTTACCAAAGATAACCTTTAAATATAATACTTCTTAGCTAAATAATTCAATGATTGTGCTCATAGGTTAATTCCATTCACAAACTTCAAGTCAAACAAGTTAAATGAAATTTCCCAAACTTTCAGTTACGTTTAACATTTCTCTCTTGCTCGCCAGTTTACTCGTGTGACACTTAGGTGATCACTCAATCCACATACAACTTTCATTTTACCATAAACTTGAAAATTTGCTAAATAATTATTCAAATCAAAACTAAAACACACATTTTTGAAACCTTAATGGTTGTAATTTGATAGTGCCTGTCCCACTTCCTCCATGATGTATCTCGTAAAAGGATATGTTAAGCTACATATTAATGGAGTTGAACAATATTCCCTTAATGGATAACTGAAGTAGGCGTTGGATCAATCCCACTTCCAACATAAAGGGATGACTCACCTTAGTCATTCCCCCTAATGAGTTAAACCCATGAGTCGTGTACGCAATTTTGTAGGCATGAGAATTGGTCTCTCCACTGCTCCTCTGTCATATTTACACATTTATAAATATTTAGGTATACAATTGGAAAAAGACATCCCCTCTTTAAATATTAGAATCCAAAAAACCCTTTTTTGTTCCATAATGCAAGAAGGGTTCACAATATTGTATAAATCACAAGTATAAATATCGTCCACCATGAGCCTCGGTGAAAGTAACCCAAACTGCACTTTCACTTAGAAACTTTTTTCATCCTAACAATTGTTCCACAATAGTGAGATTTACCACCAGCAACTATAACAATGACAAAAATTCCATTACAAAGATATAAGACGATGTAGAAGAACTACGTCGCCATATTGAAACACTATGTGACAACATTTTGCACCTTCAAAAAGAACAACAACAACATGTGGTAAATCAACCATAAGGGACAAAGATCTTAGACCCTCTAACCCCTCTTCGATGAGATTTCAGATGTGTCAATCCAAAAGGATTTTAAGTCGCGATCGTTGATAACCCTCAACGGTAAGAGTATCATGCAAGAACATATTATCATCATCAACACTCAAATGGAGATAATAGGCGCCATTGATTTTTTAAAATGCAAGCTCCTCTTTGGGACATTGAAGGAGGTGGCGTTAAGATGGTACATGAGTCTGCTCAAGTTTTTCATAACTAGATACAAAGACCTCTATGAAGTTGATTCACATTCATCAATTCTCCGCAAGCAAACAACAGAAAATATCCACGACCACCTTGTTCAATGTTCGTTGGGGACATTCTGAGTCCCTAAAAGAATATTTGGCAAGATTCAATGAGGCGACCATTAAAGTGATCAATCTCAATCAACAAATGTTTGTGGGAGCCTTTCAGGATGAGCTCAAGACAGGGCATTTCAAAGAAAATCTCTTGCATAGAGCTCTGTAGATTTCATGGAAGAGATTATGGTGAATGTTGAATGTTATATAAAAGACGAGAAGAGCAACATCGAGAAGAAAGCTATAGATGCAAAGAAACACGAAATTAGAGTATCATAACCCTCCCATCAATGAAAGAATCAGTTCTCGCAACCCATATGTGATAAGGCGACCTTTAAACCCACCCTGAAACTTAGGGGTGGCAAAACGGACATGACTCGTGGGCATACACGTGTTTCCCGCACATTTTACGGAGCAGATCAAAATTTTAAGCATGCACCATCTAATATGTTCAACCTACTGCATCCTATTTTTTTTCCAAATTTTTGAAGGCGCGGGCATTAATATAAATTTTACAATTTTAAAATAAAAACGCAGCGCCCACATGCCCGCCCTATCCCCATTTTTCTGAAAGAAAAAAAAACTAAAGTTTTAAACTCGCACCCTCAACTATGTCAACCCTATCGTGACTAGATTTTACAAGGAAGGAAACCCATAGAAAGCTTCATGCCACTCAACACTCTTTCCCTCTAAATATGTCTCTTATCCATCTCTCAAAGATCATCATGACATTAACTCTATCTCTGATCTCCTTGTGAATGGGTAGATTCCTTCTTCCATTATTGTGAATCTACCTTTTTTATATTTTCTAGATATTTGCAAGTCTATTATGTAGAAAAAATTTGGATCTATTTATATTGATGGACATTTTGACAAAGATTCATTTGTTTTAAATTTTTCATATTTACTTGAACCAACATTTATATTGATTAACATTTGTTTGTTTTGACTAAAATTTGGATCCATTTATATGATCAATATTTTGACTCACAAATACTGTTACTTCGTACAGAAGTTTGCTTGCCGACTTAAATTTCAGTCAGCTTCATTTCAAATTTTCAGCAATGGCACATAATCATGAATTTCAAATCTCACCACAACACATAAATGCTCTTCTATTATGAAATGGTCATTGTACTACTGTCTAAGCAGCATTTAGATCTAAGCTTGCATCCAATATGAAAAAAATCCACAAATGCATACAAGTTATATTCCCAACTAAATCATTACACGCACTAGTTTCAGCAGCAGCAAAAACAAAGTAGGCTCATATAATACGACACGACACATAAGCTTAAAAAGCTTTATTAAGCAAAGATAGACTAACTTATACAAACACCATCAAATAACATAGCAGGTGGAGCTATTGCTTTCAAAGTATTTGTTAAATACTGCAATTGGTGTTCAAACATCACTAACCGCACAACTAAAAATTCACCCTTCACCCTCTTAATAAGAAGGTTTGTGGTCAAAGAATATTTTGCAACATAGCTCCTTACTTATTCGGCTCTAGACTGGCCAGCACGTGAAGACAAGATAATACCAACAATGAGACCATAAAGAGCAAGAGCTTCAGCAAAGATAAGGATAAGAATCATTCCAACGAAAAGTTTTGGCTGCTGTGCATTGGCTCTGCAAAAGGAATCCATTTATCAGAAACAATTATAAACAATCAGGAAGAAACTTAACAAGAATGATTCAAAAGCAAATTACATTTTCCATCAATGATCACACTATACTATATTGTTAAAAAAGTCTGAGGACAAATGAATATGTAGTTCCCAAGGCATTTATAGATTGGTAGTACTCCATAAGATTGAATGAACTGAAACATTTTGGTTAAAATTTTGAAGAAAAAAAAAGATATCCCACTTCATTCAATTCCAGATGGCTACGTCACCAATCCAATAACACACCCAAAGAAAATGGTCAAACAGTGCTAATAAAAATTCAGGACCCATAAGTTCAGTAATAAATATGAAATAATAAACTTCAGTACCAAACCAAATAAAAAAACCAGTTTAAAATCTAATCACACATGTCAAATAACTAAGGTAGAAGAATTATACCTAACACCAGCATCACCAACAATCCCAATAGCCATACCAGCAGAGAGGCCGGCAAGGCCACAAGCAAGACCAGATGAGAGATGTGCATAACCATCAAAAAGGTAATAAGACTTAGCCTTTGGGTTAATTCCAGTACTGATAATAACAGCAATAATAAGACCATAAATACCCAAAACACCAGCCATAACAACAGGCACAATCGACTTCATCACCAGCTCCGGTCTCATCACACCCATCGAAGCCACTCCCACACCACTCTTTGCTGTGCCATACGCAGCTCCCATACCTTCCTCCATCAATTCAATTCAATTCAATTCAAACCATCAGTAAAATAAATCAATCGAGATCTATCTGCTAATCAACAATCTCACATTTTTCACAAGTTATAACAATTAAGCAATTATCCTCGATTTCGAAAACAACGAAGATCCATATAAAATATAATCATGCGAAATTACTACTTGTTCATAATCCAACAAAATCATTGCCCAACAAAAAAAAAACATCAAAAACAAATGAATCCATTAAAGATTTCAAAATTTTGCGCATCGAAAATTAAAATTAGACAAAAATATGAGAAATTGAAAAGAGATCGAGAAAAAACAAAGACAAAGACAGATCTAATTGAGGAATTAGGGATAGAATTACATGAGAAAACGAGAGCAGCTGCGGCTCCAAGGAAGCCAAAAAACGGTGCCGTTTCATCGCCGCTGAATGGAGCCATTCCTACTGAAACGACGTCGAATAGATCCGATCTAAGATAAACGGTTTTACGATTTTCTCAGAGAGAGAAGTTCCGATTTGCGATCTCAATTGTCGTAGAGAAAAATGGTTAGTGAACGTGGATGATTGTTTGCCTTTATTTATAGTTAGTTAATAATTCATTTAATTATTACATCTTCGAGTACCCGTATGCCTCGGATACATAGATACTATAACCCGAATGCGGATTATAAACCAGTTTTATTAATTGGGCTTGGCCTTTTCAATAATAGTTGCCCAATAATAAGTGGATTTTACCTGCCACTCCTAAATTATATCTATATCTGACGCCCTCAATTTTTTTAATTCTAAAAATATCCTTATAACTATTTACCTCTAAAAAAAAAGTATTTGTCCAAAAAAAATATACTATCGCTAAAAGTGTGAAAATAGAAATATCCGGTACACATGATGAAATTTCCGGTATTAAATTGCGTATTTTATCGAAATTTGTTGGCGTTTTCAAAATTTTCGGTGGCGATTTATCGTAAATTTTGAATTTTCGGAGGCGATTTACTGGAAATTTTCGGTAAATATCAAAAAACTAAAAAAACATACTGGAAATTTTCGGGACGAAACATATGTTCTGAAAATTTCAAATTTCTGAAATATCAAATTTTTTGCATAAACTTGAAATTTTCGATGTGGCCCAGAGTCAGCAACTTCTTCTACGGATTCCTGTATACAATTTACGGAGTTCTTCACCACATATATTGTATGTTTCCTATTGAACTAATGCAGTTTTAATTATTTTTTTATGAAGTTGATAGTTTAATAATTATATGTTTTAATTGACAAATTTTAAACTCTCGGTCTGAAGTTTTAGCATGGGCACAGTTTAGTGGTAAACAACATGGTATTAGTGTTGTCATTGTTTGTTCTGATTTTACTAATGGAATATGAAGGAGGAAGAATAAATTAATTATGGGTTGTGAGAGAGGAGGAAACTACAAAAGAAAATTCCTCTAATGGCATTTATAGTACGAAGGTTAAATGTTAGTTTAGGTTGAGATCTGTTCCAAGTGGTATCGGCTGGAAGGTGATGGTTAGATGTGGGATGCACAATCATAGGATAAATATGGATTTGGAAGGCCATGCTATATTGGGTTGTCTAAAATATCATGAAATAAAGTTTGTTAATGACATGATGAAGTATAATATGGGTCCAAGGTACATATTTTCTGCTTTGAAAGACAACGATTCAGAAAACCTCGCGAGCATTACACAGGTGTATAAAATTAGATCAACATACAAAATGCAAGAGAGGTACATTGACAAAAATGCAAGTGTTATTGAGCCTTATTCATAAAGAGAAATACATGTGTTGGAATAGAAATGGGGATAACTCATATATTGTAGCTGATATCTTTTGAACACATCCTGATTCTGTGAAGTTGTTGAATATGTTTCATCTGGTTTTAATTTTTGGTTGCACGTACAAGACAAATAGGTAAGAACTTTACTTTTCACATCCTAAAATTTGTTGTAGATGTTGAGTGAGTTGTTTGGTTATGTGCATTTTGATCGTGCAGGTATCAGATACCGCTACTTGAGATTGTTGATGTTACATCAACGAAGTTAACATTTTTAGTTGCATTTGCCTATTTGGAACATGAAAGGGAGGATAATTTCACACGGGCATTGGAGAAGGTCAAAGAGTTATTCTCTTTGGAGAAATTGCTACCCTTAGTGTTGACGGACCCAAGAACTTGCATTGATGAATGACATGGAATTTGTGTTCCCAAATGCATCTCATTTGTTGTGTTTGTTCTATATTTAAAAAAACGTGAGCATGAAATGTAAAGAGTACGTGAAATCAAAAAAGACAAGAACAAGTCATAGATCTATGGAACAACATAATGTATTCAAATACAGAAATTGAGTTTGGCAAACATCTCAAGCACTTTGAAAGTGTTTGTGTTGATATTCCTTTATTTATTAAGTATGTAAATGAAACATGGTTAACACCTTAAAAGAAATATTTTTTGTTGTATGGACTAACAAAGTCATTCATTTACGAGACACAACAACAAACAGGTAGGTGGATCATGACAATTTGATGTTATTATTACTTATGGGTTAAAAAAATTTGAAACATGTTTTTCTATTTATGGATTTTATAGTGGAGTCTACTTATTGGAGACTAAAAAACATGTTGACTACAAGTCAAGTGATTTATGTCAAAGTTGAGATGTTGTGAAGACCGTGTTAAAGTTACTTCTAAGTTCAATTAGGGTGTCATTTCAAAAAGTATTGTCAACATTGAGTATCGATATAACACTCCATTATATGCCAAGTTGTACGGTTTTGTGTCAAGACAATGTAAACATCTCATTGGAAAAGAACTAGAAAGGGTAAAATTTGTTTGTTCAATCCAAGAGAGATATGGTTGCTTCATTAGAACAACACATGGGTTACCGTGTGTGTTAGCTTTTCGGTTTCCAAATTCTAGGCAACCACTTACGCTTAGACTCAATTCATATATTCTTGATGAAATTGCATATTGCAGAATATGAGGCCAATCATGATGAGAGTAGTACAAAGTTGGATTTATAAGAAGAGTTAAAGAGATACTTTAGTATTTTGGATATTGTAGTTCAGAGGTTGTTGAATAAATTTTTTTATGATCTAACATATCCATCCACAACGTCATTGTGTCCATCGTCGGTGAAGTACAAGCCAGAGAGGGGAGTTAAGAAGAGTAAAAATGGTCAAAAGAGTGATGTGCATCATGATCCTAGCCAGTGGGAGTATGTCGACGCTTCGCATGGGAGTTAAACTACAAAGAGATTATGCATAAAACCAACTAGAAGCAAGTCGTCAAGTATGTCGATTGATAGCCAACCATCCCCTAAATCTTCAAGACATATATACTTATCACATTTTCTTTCTTTCTTACATCCATACATCGATGACATTATTGATACTGGTAACGGTGGAAATTATGGTTTCCATTGTATTTCATCTTTATTTGGATGTCACAAAGAGTTATAGCCTTTAATCCAGATGAAGTTAAATTCTTAATTTCATCAACACTCTCAGTTGTTTTCCAAGTTATTCTATGAACCTGTCTCAACAATTAATATTGAGTTACGAGTAGAACACTTAGGTGTGTAGGGTAGGGAAAATAGATAACGATTCTGGATATGGGTTACCCTATTGCTTCTAGATACAGTGTCGTATTTATTTCCCTTTCAATGAGACCTAAAATCACATTTTTCCTCTTGCCTTAGCTCCACCTATGTATACGAGCAGCCATAGAATCATTATTGTTGGTTTTGTCAATAAAAATCATTGGGTTCATGTAAAGTTGAAAATCGATTGCCCATTGCCTCCCGTGACTGACCGTTGGAGACAAAATTATACTGATGATGCAAAAACATGGGAATCAACATATGTGGGTCACTTTAGATACTGGGAAGATCTGTGTAAGAAATCATGTAGTTTGTTTTTATGCATATATGTATGACTGGTATTATATGTATATATTAAGTCGGGTAGCTATTTTACCGATTCAATTTTGCTTGAAAAAGCAATGAAAGAAGAGGGAAAATAAACTGTAAGATTACCAGAAATTTCAACTTTCTGGAATTTTTAGCACTTACCAAGAGTTTCAAAATTTCCAGTATAATGTAACTACTCACCAGAAATTTGGAATTTTCAGTACCAGAAAATTTAAAATTTTGGTATCCCTCACCCAAATACGGTAAAAATCAGTAAAATTAATGAAATTTTTGGTGATTTACTAAGTCTCCGGTATGCTTTTGGAAATTTTAAGATTTTCGGTATTCTAGTGAGGGCATTAACGTAAAAATGCCAAAGAAATGGGGGTGTTAGATATAAGTGTGGGGGTAGGGATGGCAAGCAGACCCAAACCCACGGGCCCCACCCGCACCCGCACCCGAGTCAACGGGTGAAACCCGAATTGACTGGATTTGGGTTCGGGTTCGGGTGCCACCCGATATTTCGGGTGTGGGTTTGGGATAGCTTAAACCCGCACCCGAAACCCGAAACCACACCCGCTTATATGTTAAATTACAAAACTATCCCTAAATATATATATATTTCAATAATTAAAAATAAAATGTAGGGTTTATTGTTCAGGGTATGTTTGGATTTACCGTCACCCACCGGCCACCAACCCACCATAACATCATCCACCTTCAATCCGCATCATCCATCATCAAATAACCATCTTCTATCTAACTCCCTCTCTCTGTATCCAGCACGTCACTGATAACGGTAGATACACCTCTGTTTTCTTCGTCAACACCATCCTTTAAGCTTTCTCCGCGCGCAGCAATTCATTGCATTATGCGTTAACTGCCCAGCCTCATTATCCTTATCAAGCTTCATCAATTCTCCGCGCCTACTTCCATCGCCATTCAACTACGAACAACATCTTCACTTCTTCTGACGAATTTGACATCCCGGTAATCGTTTTCTCTCAACTTTGTTCAACTGAGTTCCTGATTTGTTTATATAACTACGTTTGATTCTGTAGTAGTGTTGGATTATGCTGAATTTATTGTGTCGGATGCCGTTCTATTTGTGTATGTTGAGTTGTTGTCATGTTTTGTTTGAATTCGATTGAAATTTATACCGTGAAAATTTGTTCTCGTTTTGATTTCAATTGAATTTGTGGCGAATGATATTCATGTTAGTTTCGGTGAAGTAGACGTCTATTCCGTGTTCATTTGCATAGAATATGACCAAGAAACTATGGGGCAGCCGGTTTATTTTTATTGTTGAATCAACTTTTAATTGGAGAATAAACCCTTATCAATTGCTTTTCTTCTTTTAGAGGCAGAGTTTCATGCTGAATCATGTGTTCCATGTTTCTAATCTGAAACCAAATTATAAATCTAGAGAAGTTAACACAACAAAACAGACATAAGAATCAAATCCTGGTAAATATCTCAGGAATAACAAAATGAATGCATACCTTGCTATCGATATCCC